GGCACAGGAACAAGGGATCCAATACATACAGTGGTTCCTTGGGGGTGAGTGCTACATACACATTGTAAATTCACATCAGTCCCTGCCATCAAGGAGCATACAATCTAAAGTCCCCATCTCATATGTGTACATACACACTTGGGCCAATTACCAACCTGCATGTGTTTGGAGTGTGGGAGGAAACCCATACAAGCATATCAATAACATGCAAACTCCATGCAGACAGAATCCTGGCTAGGATCTGAATGGAGACCTCAATGCTGCAAGACAGAAGTGCTAGCCACTAAAGCATACTGTTGCTTTAGAAAAATAATCTGGTTTTGTTTATGGATTACCAGATTGAGCATTGAAATTTACTTACGGTGATAAGGTTATCAAAGTCCAACTCTAGACAGTGTTTTTTGGATAGGGCAAGGTTCGAGACTTTCAGGGATTCAGATTCAGTTTACTTTATTAATCCCAACAAGGAAATTATTAGGTATTAAAGATAAATTGTAACTGTTCTCATTGAGGGCAATGTAAAGGTTACTGCTGAGGAGCCAAACTCCCAGCAAGGTATTCATACCATTTGCATTCGTTCGCCACCACTTTGCTGCACAAGTTCACAATGTGAACAGCAAATGGGTAGTTGTGGCAATATATGGGCAACAAATAATTAATCTTTACAGTACATGAGCAACAATGGACAATCATGACAAACAGGCACTCAAATACAGGATGCAAAACAGGTCCAAGATTCCAAAGTGTTTGTTTATTTGGTTTGAAAAGACGTACAACAAAATGATCAATGTGAGCCCAGTTCTTTCAATCCCTTTACACATTTCAAATTCCCTTTCATGATATCCATGTAGCAGATGGATTATAAGGCAGTTTCTTTTGAAGAGCAAAGGAAGAAGAGCAAGGGAAAGAGTGAAAAAACAAGAACAATGCTAAGCCAAATGCTCACATTGTAAGGTTAAAACAAATAACTTTTAGAAAGCTCGATAACAACACTACCCATAGCAGAGTCTTGCTGTCTGGCTTTCAGATTCCCATGGCATGTCCCCTCCACACGTGCAATCACATATATTGACATCTTTCTTTTCAATTATTTTTTATTATTTTTCAGAAAAAGGTTACATTTAACAGAAATAGGTCCAGACAGATAATATACAAAACCAGTAGGCATAAACACATCTTAGCACCACAATGTCACTACGCTCACAGGTCTGGTGGAACCTTGCAATAATGGCCCATGGCCTACAATTGCATACATAATAGATTACTTCTAAGTTGTTAGTACCTGTATTAAACAATTGAGTTAACCTTTAAGACCTATAGTGCATACATAGTGCTTATTATAGACGAAAATAACTACGAGAAAAAAGAAAAAAAGAGAAGTGGGAAAAACACTAGAAAAAAGAAGAGCAAAAACAGAGAAAATTAGAACTAGAGCACAGATGCAGCAAAAAACAAATCAAATCACTGTGATATACAAAACAGTATTCTCATACAGTTACATCATGGGATAAAAACATATTTGACCAACACGACCATTTCAGGTCAAATTTCCCCATATGTTGACACTGAAGAGCCACCGCTCTCTCGCAAATATAATTCGAGTTAACTCTATGGATTACTTCCACAATATTAGGAATCCTCACTAATTTCCAAACAGCAGTAACAGACATTCTAGCAGCGATTAGTATGTGACCAACAATTATTCTATATTGGGCAGGGAATAATTGTAACGTAATATTAAGAAGAGTTAGATGAGGCTCTGGGTTAGTGGTCATGCCAGAAACCCCGTGAAATGAGTGCAAAGACTTCCTGCCAGAAATTCTTTAAGAGGGGGCATCCCCACAGAATGTGGAGTAGATTGCCCTCCTCTCCACAATTCCTCCAGCACAGGGGCGACGTATTGGGATACATTTTAGCAAGAGTATACGGAGTGAGGTAGCTACGATAAAAGATTTTTAGAGAGCAATTCCTATGATTTGTGCATTTGGTAATACTTAAATTGTTGCCCAGTGCAGCCTCCCATTCCTCTCTTGTGAAAGACCTATTAAGATCAGTTTCCCAGCTACGTATGTTGCGGGAGGTAATGAGGTTAGTAACATACTGTAGATAATTATAGAACCACGAAATCCCTTTTTTTAGTTGAACGGGATTCGTCATGGCTTGACAGAAGTTGGTGTCGATTTCAACCCACATCTTCAGATGCGCTCCATGATAACTTCTGATCTGTAAAAGGGAGTATAGATCTCTACTTGGGGTGGTATTCCCTATTTCAGTAAGAGTAGTATAACCCAACTCCCGTAAAGGTCTGGTGTCGAGGTTAGTGATAAAGTGTTCATATGCTAGAAGAGGAATATCTATTTGAATCTTAGATGAAATTGAATTATTTTATTTACGCCAAATAACCATGCCGCAAGCGATACGACAATGGATGGCGGAAAGGTATTGAGGAGTTTGGAATGGACTGTTTTAGCCAATACTAAAGCCCGAAGATCTCTGTCTGGTAGTACAGATTTCTCAATTTGTACCCATAGTTTGTCTGAAGGGATGAACCACTCTGGGAGTTGATCCAAAATAGAGGCATAGTAGTAGTTGGAGAGCACTGGAAGGCCAACCCCCCCCTTTTAGACTTATGTTTAGAAAGGAACAAGAAAGATATTCTCGACTTCCTCCCTTGCCATATATAGTTTCTAATAGCCACTTCCAATTTATTAAAATAAGTATGGGGAATAACGATTAGAATCGTTCGGAAGTAATATAATATATTGGGAAGAATCAGCATTTTAAAAGCTGCTATTCTGCCTATCCAAGAAATTTCTAATTTATTGAGTCGCTGTAACTCCGCTAAGTCAGACTGGTATAGCTTTTCAAAATTATCCTTAAAAGTATTAGAAGCTGGATACGAGATTAATATACCCAGGTAGTCTAGTGTTTTCTGGGTCCAGTTATATGGGAATTTAGCTTTAAGCTCTTTCAAGAGAGTCTTTGTTATAGCTATTGGTAGTGCGGATAATTTTGCAATATTAAGTTTGTAATAAGAGACTGCATTGAAGGATTGCAAGGATGAGGAAATTTCTGTAAGGGATTTCACAGGATCAGTAACCGTAAGTATAACATCGTCAGCAAACAAACCAATTTTGTGGGATGTATCCCCAACCTGAATGCCTGAAATCTGGGAGGTATCGCCTATCACCATTGCTAATGGTTCCATTACTAGGGAGAAGATGATGGAAGATAACAGGCAACCATGGCATGTTCCATTAGTAATGCTAAAGGGTTCCGATAAAGCATTGGATGTGAAAACCTGAGCAGTGGGGAACAGTATAAAGTGCCATAATAGCCGATTTTATATATCCATCAATACCAAATTTGAGCAACGTAGCGTCTAAGTATTGCCAGTGAACCCTTTGAAAAGCTTTCTCGACGTCCAAGGCCAAGAACACCGCCTGTGATCCACGAGATTCGATGAAGTGCATCAGATCCAGAATTCTACGAGTGCCGTCTGGTGCCTGTCTACCTTTAACAAAACCTACGTAATCAGCCCGAATCAGGAGAGGAATAATATTAAGGAGTCAGGTCGCTGAGATTTTGGCGTAAATTGTGAGATCAGTATTTAGCAATGAGATGGGCCTAAAGTTTTGTGGGCGGTCCGAAGGTTTCCCCGGTTTAGGTAGGGTAACAATGATAGCCCTTATCATTTCCGGTGGGAATGTGGATTTAAGTATAGCTTCATCAAATGTGCATTTAAGATGGGGAACTAATATGGCTTGAAATTCCTGATAGTATTCATTTTAAAAGCCGTCTGCACCCAGACATTTCCCTTTAGGTAATGCTTTGATGGCCTCGGAAGTTCGCTTTCCAGGGTGGGTCGATTGAGACTTTCTAGCTTTTGAAGATCTAATTTAAGCAAAGACAGCTTATTCAAAAATTGATCAAACGAATCTGGAGTGGGTTGGGGAATGGAAGGATCATTCTTGAGGTTGTATAATTGGGAATAATAAGTGCGGAATGCTTCTACTATTTTATTAGGATGATAAGTCGGTGTATTAGAAGTAGGATCTAAGAGAAGATATTTTGGATTTTGCTTGTCTAGTTGATAAGTATTTTGCTAACATTTTACTCACTTTATTCCCTTGTGTATAAAATTTAGCCTTGGTCTTTTTTAGGTATTGACCATGTCTCCCTAAAAGTAGAGTCCTAAGTTTTATTCTAGTGGTTTGAAGCTCCTGAAGAGTGTCAGGAGATAAAGTTCATGTGTGTGTTCAAGTTTAGCAATTTGCTCAGTGGTGTCAGAGAAAATACGGTTCCTATCCCGTTTAGCCTGCGATGCCAGCGATAGTAAACCTCTACAGTAAGCTTTATGAGCACACCATACATTAGTTGCACTAGTATCAGAAGATAGATTAACAGTAAAATACTCCTGTAAAGCAGCAGTAATAACAGGGCGGGATAAATGATTACAAAACATGGAGACATCATTACGCCACAAGAATACTGGAGTAAATTTCAAAGTCTCCTTGATGTTTAACCTCCTCAGCGGTCTGATTATTTCTGATTTTTTGTGCTGAAAGCAGTACCATTTTTTTGCATGAAATATGTAGTTTTTTATTGTAGGCTGTAATTTTTAGGAATAACTCACTGAAATCTGTACAAACAAGAGTCTAGTAAACATCCCGGGTAGGATAAAATTTGAAACACAAAATCATAAATTATAATTTAATAAATAATCATAAAAAATAATAATATAATAATAATACATTTAATTCAATAATATAATCAAACCAAAAACACTGAAATTTGAAATACAGAGGCAAATTCGCACATCGCTGAGCAAAGTCGCAAATACGTTTTCAGTGTCTGATGACGAATTTTCCCACGAATCATTATCACTCAATTCTGCAAGTAGTTCTGATTTACTATCGCTGTTCTCTAGCTGGTCTAAAACCGCTTTTGACGTAAAGGGATGCTTTTTGGACGCCATGGACTTTTCTAAGTTTCCCGGCAGAAAGAACAGTCAAAATGCAGGCAGGGCACAGGACAAAGCAGTAGGGACAAAATGTATGTGAAATGCATTGAAACAGCAATATTTTACTATGTAATAATCATTTTTAAATAAATGACATTTTTTTAAAATTTCAAATTTGCCACCGGTTCCGGCGCCCGTACGTCCCGACGTCACAGGGACCGGAACACGGAAGCCGGATGCCGGCATTGGCCGGAGGAGATGGCCGGGGACGCTGCAGGGGACACATCGTGGGAGCGAAGGACAAGATAAGTGCTGCAGGGACTCCCTGAGCAACGCTGCATGGTAAGCCCGAGTGTAGCTCGGGGTTACCGCTTTTGGTACTCAAATTTTACCCCGAGCTACACTCGGGAATACCGCTAAGGAGGTTAAAAAAATAGGAGCGTGGTCTGACCATGTCATCGGATGGATCTCAGCTTTAGAAACATTTTGTAGCAGTTGGACATCCATAAGAAAAAAATCTATTCGAGAATATGATTTGTGAGGTGCTGAGTAATGTGTAAAGTCCTTTTCAGAAGCATGAAGGCATCTCCAGGGGTCATAAAGATTGGCTTCCGTGATAGTCTGGGCTAGGGACTGTCTCAACTGCCGTGAAGGGTTGGAGGTATCCAGTGATTTGTTAATAATAGCGTTAAAGTCTCCACAGTAAATCAAAAAACCCCTTTGTATTTTTGCTACTTTTTTCCGCAGGGAGTTGAAAAAAATTAACCTGATGGGTATTAGGGGTATAAAGATTCACAATAGTGTAGGTAATGTTGTTGATTTAACAGACAATAATTATGAATCTGCCTTTACTGTGGGACACTTGGGATTGTAGAGGGAAAGCGACAGAGTCAAGAACAGCAATTAATACGCCACACTTCTTAGCAGGGCCATTAGATGTGAAGATATGTGGGAACAGGCGGTTAGAGCAGTGTGGGGCTTTAGATGCCGAAAAATGGGTTTCCTGAACACAAAGCACATCGCCATGTAGTCGTTGGGCTTCTTTCCACATCATCTGGCGTTTGAAAGGATTATTAAGGCCGTGAGCATTCAAAGAGACAAATTTTAATACCATGAGAAAGCTTGGTAAAGTGATGTGTGGTTGCCCTCAAGTGGTAGAAACAATAATAGCATGGAAGGATTTGGAAGCCAAAATTGTATTCTTACGTGAACCATGATTTTCATACGTAGGCGAAGGAGGTGCGTCCCTCCAATAGTGACATAAGATGACATGTCGAGATCCAGTAATATAAATGGTGTTGCTGCTCTGAAGTAAAACACACAAAAAGAGGGGAAGAACTGGTGAAGAAAAATAAAACAGAAAAGTAACACATAAGTTCGCGTGAAACTAATCACTTGATTGGATGGGGGGAAGTACCGAGGCAAGCATCCTAAAACAGCGCTATCCAAACTTGCATCGGGTAAAACATAAGGAACCGGGGACTGTGGGTGGAATCAGTTGCGTGCGTCATCCTGCTACTTGTTCCCACTCTGAGGGAATTTTTTCTGGGGGAGGATTTAGTGGGCACACTTTCCTCATCTGCTGGGATAAGGCCCCATCTTTTGGCAAGTTGAAAGCCATCTTCTTCCGAAGTGACCATAAGAACTCGATTGTCCTTTGTAATCAGCAATTTGGTAGGGAACCCACACTGATATTTAATATTGTTGTTGCGCAATAATTTTGTGAAAGAAATCAATTTCTTGCGGGCTAATATGGTGTGTTGAGAAAGGTGAGCAAACAGAGAGATCCCGCTGTAAGGCGCTGTAGTGGACTATTCTTCCGCGCAAACAGCATTAGTTCCTCCTTCACATGATAGAAATGGACTCTTGCAATTACATCCCGAGGGACATGAGCTGGGAGAAAAGAGGGTTTCGGCAGTCTACGCGCCCTATCCGCCACCACCTCCCTATTCGGAGTATGCGGCAACAGTGAGGATATCATATGCTGAATAAATTTGCGGAGATCCGTGACAGGAGTATCCGCACTAATCCCCCTGAATTTAATGTTATTTCTGCGGGATCGGTCCTCAATATCCGCCATTTTCACCTTTAGTGGTTTTCATCTCATCCTCAACTTCGTTGTGGGCATCCACTAATTTGTTATGAGCAGTGGCGAAATCCCCCATTTTAGTTTCCACATGTGACACCCGCTCTCCTAGGTTTTCCACCTCTGTATTGATCTGTGTCATAAAGCTCATCATATATTTATGTAGGGATCCCTTAAGGGTAACTAACATACCTTTCATAACAAAAGCAGTAAGCGGCATAGATTCTGCTGGATAATCCTCCAGGTTCTCTATAAATTCTCTTGTAGTATTTTGAGAAGAGGAATCAGAAAAGTGCTCACCCATCTGCTGTACCTCTGGAGAGAATTTCTGTTTATTCTTGAGGGGGCTGCAGGATGCTGTTCTCATGGAAGAGCCTGTCAGCTCTGTGTGCACGGCAGGGCTGGAGGCATGCAGGAGGGAATTGTGAATGTCTCCCTCCTCCTGTCCCCGTGTGTCAGCAGAGGGACAGGGACCAGCGCCATTTTGAGAGGAGGGGGGACCCGCCAGAGGGAAGAACTCCGACAGTTTGCGGGGCCCTCCTTTATCTTTCTCTTCCCCATTCTACGGGGATGTGCCCCACACCTCCCTGGTGGCAGCGGTGATGTCAGCATGGTTTCTTGCTGTAGGACGTCACTGGGAGTAGCTGCTGTTCTCAGCGGTTCACAGAGCTCCTCTACACTGCGGTCATCTCCGTCCGCGGCCGGCCACAACACCTATATTGACATCTTTCTAGGGCACCCGGCTGCTGAATGGATGGGTGACTGAAGCTCAACCAAGGTGGCAGTGGCGATATTGAAGAGAGAGTCAAGCAACCAGTGTTCCGAGAAAGATCAGCAATGGCAGTTCCCCTATCTTCCTGAGTACTAGTTTTCTATGCAAAACTAAAGCCTTAAAGTATAATAAAAACAAAGGGTTTTTGCTTGAAAAGCATAGGTACACATTTACATAATGAGCAGGTACAGAGTATAGACAATACATTTTCATATGTAGAGGTGTACTTTGGTTAAACAGACACGCCCCCAAGGTTCCATCTGGAAAGGTTCCATTTCCATTACTATTGCAATGTGTTGGGATTAAAATGTGCATGTTGCATTTTGTCTCAACCTGCAGTTTACCATGCAAATCCATCAAAGACAATCTTTTAAAAAACTAATTTTAACTCATAGCAACACAATGCATGCTAAGGCATGTATTATGGTGTGCTTCAACCCCTGCACAGTGGGTATTGTGAGAAAGTTGCTCAAATCCTTTCACCAACATAGTTTAAAGGCTTTTACCCAAGTTTTTCAAAAGAAAATGTTCTTTAACATCAGGTTTCCCTCTCAGGGATGTCAGCATCATTAGGTACAGGAAACAAAACTGAGCCTTTTGAAACTGAGCCGATTACCGGCTCTCCTCTTCTCTCGAGCTGTCAGCGTGACAGCTCGAGAGGAGAGAAATGCCGATAACCGGCATTTCCGTGTTTTCATGTGATCAGCTGTGATTGGACACAGCTGATCACATGACCGAGCCGACATCTTCAGCTCTTTCTGTGATCCGCTCTTTCTGTGATCCGCTGTGTCCGAGGGACACAGCGCACCGGCGATCGCCGCGCTGCGCGCTCCCTGAGCCGCGCATGCGCATTGAGAATGGTAGGACGTCATATGATGTCCTATCAGAACAAGAGAACCACCTTGTGCCCATCATTGTACTACAGTAGCTGAAGCTCCGCAGAGGATGGGTGATGCAACAGGACAATGACCCAAAGCATACAAGTAATTCAACAAAACAATGGCTGCAATAGCACAGAATACACCTTCTGGAGTGGCCCAGTCAGAGTCCTGACCTTAACCTGATTGAAATGCTGTGGCGTGACCTTAAGAGAGCGATTCACACCAGACATCCCAAGAATATTGCTACACTGAAACAGTTTTGTGAAGAGGAGTGGTCCAAAATTACTCCAGATCGTTGTGCAGGTCTGATTTGCAACTACAGGAAATGTTTGGTTGAGGTTATTGCTGCCAAAGGAGGGTCAACCAGTTATTAAGTCCAAAGGTTCACATACTTTTTCCTCCCTGCACTGTGAATGTTTACATGTTATGTGCAATTAAACCATGGCAACATCTAATGTTTGTGTAGTATTATGTTCAGCAGACTGTGTTCTTCTATTGTTGTGACTTAGATGACGTTCAGAGAGCATTTTATGCCCAATTCATGCAAAACTCCACGTAATCCCAAGGGGTTCACATACTTTTTCTTGCAACTGTAGAAGCTCCCATACTGCCTTTCCAATATCACAGGTTCAATTTAATATTCCCTAAAGTCACCTTCAGGAAATGTGGCAAATGTCCCCAAATGCAAACAAAGCCTGGGGCACTGGGAAGCCAATGTACTCATATTTTATTTCCCCGACACAGATGATCCTATCTTCATTACAAATAGCAAATAATATTTTGTTTTTGGAATGTGGGAATACCTTTTGGGAAAAGAGCATAATTACTTCTTTGTACAAACTATTTTTAATCGGTTTTGTATATATAATATTTTCTACGTGGCTGGCAGAACACCTTGGATTCTTTCTTGCCGAAATGGACATTCCAAACCGCTGAATCAGAGAACACAACTATGGAATAGACCTGTTAGATAAGAATAGCAATGATAATGAACAACAGGTCACTAGGAGGTTTTCCAAATATTATTCCTAATCTGATGAGTCTGTGTAAAGAACCAAGCTTAATTTTCACTCATATGAATCATCACTGGGGCTGGTGTGTAATGTTCTGCTAAACATCCTCCAGACCTCAAGCCTTAAGACAAGTTCAACTTTTCAGATATTTTTAACTGTGATTTTTTTTTTCACTGCAATTTCTTCTTTTTATGTTATATTTATTTGTTTTGTTTCCCGTTTTTACAATTCTTTATGTTGATTGTCCCCAACCTGGCCAAATTATGTCACCTGATCTCAAGAGAAGAATAGTAGCTCAGCAGGGTTTTTCCAGTCAGTCATTACTGTTCCCTGGACTAGACTGGCACTACAGGTGTCTGTTTAGTGCATAAACATGCACACTTGGTCGGTATAGATGCACTTATTTACTACACCTTTGCTTTTAAGCAGCATTTCTCAACTTTAACCACTAGCCTACAGGGCACTTATACCCCCTTCCTGCCCAGGCCAATTTCCAGCTTTCAGCGCTGTCGCACTTTGAATGAAAATTGCGCGGTCATGCAACACTTTACCCATATGACATTTTTATAATTTTTTTGAGACAGATAGAGTTTTCTTTTGGTGGTATTTAATCACCTCTGGGATTTTTATTTTTTCTTAAACAAACCAAAAACCACTGAACATTTTGAAAAAAAAAAAACGTTTTTCTTAGTTTTTGTTATACAATTTTGTAAATAAGTGATTTTTCTGATTCACTGATGTGCGTTATGAGGCTGTAGTGATGGGCACTGATAGGCTGCACTGATGGACACTGATAGATGGCACTGATGGGCACTGATGAGGAGGCATTGGTAGGTTGCACTGATGGGCATTGACAGGCATCACTGATGGGCACTGAAAGGCAGCACTGATACATGACACTGATATATGGCACTGATAGGTGGCACTGATAGGCAGCACTGACTGGCACTGATAGGTGGCACTGATGGCACTGATAGGCGGCACTGACTGGCACAGTTAGGCGGCACTGACTGGCACTGATAGGCGACACTGACTGGCACTGATATGTGGCATTGATGTGGCACTGATGGGCACTGGCACGTGGCACTGATGAGCACTGACAGGTGGCACTTCTGGGGCCACACTGATCATCAGGGCACACTGATCATCAATCAGTGCCCTGATGATCAGTGTACATGTTCTCTCCCATGGAAAGCCAATTACCGGCTCTCCTCTTCTCTCGAGCTGTCAGCGTGACAGCTCGAGAGGAGAGAAATGCCGATAACTGGCATTTCCGTGTTTTCATGTGATCAGCTGTGATTGGACACAGCTGATCACATAACCGAGCCGACATCTTCGGCTCTTTCTGTGATCCGCTGTGTCCGAGGGACACAGCGCACGAGCAATTTCAGCGCTGCGCGCTCCCTGAGCCGCGCATGCGCAGTGAGAATGGTAGGACGTCATATGATGTCCTATCAGAACGAGAGAACCACCTTGTGCCCGTCATTGTACTACTGTATTTCATACATGTTTATTTAGGTGAAGGATAGGGCTTGATCCTATTCCACATCTTGGTGCATTACTGTAACCAGTATGCATTTAGAATAGTCTGAAAATTGTAATTTTACAACATGCATACTTGTTCCAGGTCAGTGACTCACTAGGTGACATCCCCAGAATTTGCATCCATTATTTATCTTCACAGGTTCTCTTTAATGTCAACTGTAACTGGTGGTAAAGCAATAAAACAGAAAAGGCAGCATTTAAAAGCAAGGCTACCATCAAATTCAAAGCCCAAACCCACCCTTGCTGTGGCCTAGGCACCAACCTTTGTCTTAACTTACACTGCTTCCCTGCTCTTGATCAAATTCCTAGTACATCTAGATATGGTAATACATGCAACACTACTTCTCTTCCCACAATGCCTGAGAAATCAATCATCAGGCATGGTGAAACATTGGATGGAGGGGATGCCAAAGTGTGCACAATTACTGACAACACTGACTGTTGTTGATTAGTTTGCTAGTGATCTTTCAGAGGCAGTGGTGCTAAAAGAAAAGTTCAGGCTACAAGAGTTTGTATGTACCATAGTGGGAGAAGATTTGGGTCAAACATTTAATGACTAGGCATGAGTAAACCTGTTTGGTTTGTTGTTCACTGAGGTTTTGTACAATAGCTATGGAAAATGTTATTCGATAGCACCATGCAGTACATTTTAGGGGGTTTTGGTATATTGTTATGTTATTTGATGTTTCCTAATACAGGCATACCTTGGTTTACAAATTTAATTAGTTATGCAGGACTTTTCGTATTGCAAAAAATTTGTAAACCAAAATGCGGTTTCCCATAGGAATGCATTGAAAACCAATTAATCTGTTCCGGAGGTCAGAAAAAAGTTTAAAAATATATATTTTATCTGTTTAAAACTCTTTATAAAGTGCACTTTAAAGGCATAAATAATGTACAGGGACATGATTAAAAACAAATTTGTAAATGCATTGAAAACCAATTAATCCGTTCCGGAGGTCAGCAAAAAGTAAAAAAAAAAGTCTTATCTGTTCAAAACTTTTTTATAAAGTGTACTTTAAAGGCATAGTACTGTACAGGGACATGATTAAAAAAATTCTTAAATCCATTGAAAACCAATTAATCCACTCATATTGCAAAACAAATTTGCAAACTGAGGCATTATTTTAAATGGATTTTCATTTGTAAACCGAATATTACATTAACCGAGGCGTTTGTAAACCAAGGTATGCCTGTATATAGAAGTAAAATATACAACAAATACGGTAGAAACCTGCATTTGTGCAGTGTGTACTGTGCTTTTATATAAAAAAGAAACCTCTTCTTTCTTTTAATGTTTATTTTCTTTGTCCATGTATTGATGGCGTTAAGTACTGTTATTCACTTGTAATGTCTCTTTTGCAATACATTTCTCCTACCTGCCTGCTCTCAGCATTCCCCAGCATGTAAGTTCAGCTTACAGTACCAGCCTGATCCCTGTGTGCCTGGATGACTACATTCTACTGTATGCATACGCAGGAGTGACATCATTCCACATCGGCCAATGAAGATGGCCAAAACTGACACACAGGAGATACTGATGAGGGATGGGGACCTTTGGAGGAAACATGAGTATAGCTCCCTCTAGTGTCACTTTAACAATGAACACCACTCAATGATTGAACCCAGTGCAAAATGACTACATGACAAATTATTCATAATGTCCTCATTTCACCTTCTCTGTGTTTAAAGCAAAACTCAACTGTACCTGAGCACCACTAGCCGTAAACACAATTTAATTCATTTTTTTAATTACCTTGTCAAGCGTCTGGTAGTGAGTCCTTGTAGATCACCAACTTGGGTTCTCCAGGGTGCGGAGTCTAAGCCCCAGCTTGCTTCTTCACTAGAGCCCCTGATGGTGGGGATGGACTTGCAGCAAGCTGGAACCAGGTCGCGGCCCCCAGATACGCCCAGCTGAGGATGCAGAGACTACTCGCGTGAGCAGAGTACAACCAGCAGGAGACAAAATGAAATCCAGGAGACAAGCTGAGGTCAGAACGGATAGCAAACAGGCACAGACGGTGAACAAAGCTGGGATCGGTACACGGGTAGTCAGGCACAGGATACACAAGTAACAATGAACAGGCGCTCAGAGAACTGTGAAGTTGCTGAGGCAATATGGGCTAGACTGAGCATGTCTTATATAGGCAGGCAAACTAGGAGGTGGGCCAGGAAGTGATGAAAGGGAAGGAAATAAAACCCAGAGAATAGCAGGTGATGCCCATGTGAAAAGAAATCAAGGTAGGAAAAGCATTGCAGCAAGGAGGTAAGAATACGCAAGCAATAAACTGCAGGCTAATTTGTGACATACCTAGGAACTGCTCCAATGATTGCCAACATCCGTCAAATTAATAACAAAAAAACTCCACACTTCCCCATTTGGGATTTTTTAGGCAATATAGCACAAACATGTTAAAAGACAATCATGTTAATTTTTATTGTGTTACAGAGTAATAAAATTGTTTTAAATTAAATCACTCGCCTTATTGTATTCAAGTGCTGGTGACTTTCATATACAATATACTGTATGCAGATGTTTATTCCGATCTGTGGCTTTCTGTCCCAGTGAGCTCCATTGCTTTCTTGTCCTGGTGTCTCAAGATTTTGGAGTCTATGGAGTGTTTCTGGAGATATGAGAGGATGAAATGGATTTACAGGCCACATAACATCCTGGCAAAAGTTCTAACCCTTTCCCAGCATAAGCTAATAAAAAAATGTCGGATTTTGGCTTTAACAAACTGCCATACAAGTTTCTCAATAAATAAAACCTTAAATAGAAGTATGAATCCAATAGTGGATAATCATGTTAAAATAACACTGTCATGAGAAATCTACGGTGCTTTGCCCTTTCTAAAAATGCTTGTTTCCTGGCTTTGTCTGCCATCAGTACTTTTTAAGTCATATCCTTGGGGCATGCAAGTTGAAAATGAGTACCAGCAAAGTGTAACTTGTTCTTTCTATACTTGTTACACATCAATGAAAATATTAAATATCGTTTAGAATGGCCAGCAATGGCAACCTCCATTTTTTCTTTCATGGCAGGTTTTCTACAGTATTAGTGCCAAAACAAAGCTCTGACCTTAGCAGCAGCATATAGTGACTGTGAGAACTAGCTTCAAGTGGTAGCACATTAAAGACATAGCTGCTCGCTGAATTCTTTTTAAGGGCTTTTCTTGCCGATTTTTATTAAAAGAATGTTCAATACAGATCCAGAGATCAAACAAGTTTCCAGGGGTTTTCAACATTTAACTTTCATCCAAAGAACAAACAATATTAAGTCTCCTGGCCTTTAGTCTGATCCCACAGACCGTGACACAGTATCACTCAGTACCTCTCCAAAAAGCTTGATCCATACACTTAGCAGCCTCTTGCTGCTCTGGCTCCCATCTCTCTCCTAGGTGGAGCCCTCATGACTCCTGGGCAAAGACCTCCTCTGGCTGCAGGGGTGGAGCCCACACATATGGTCAGGTCTCTACAAAAATCTCTGCACACACCTGTACAATCAATATACCGTTTGGTCACAAAACACGGACCCAGGACTGGAGATTTCATCCTTCCCAAATCTCTATGAAGTTCCCAGGCTCCAGGTCCTAAACCAGGTTTTACCAACTGATGAGGAAGCTGAAAGACCAGTTTCCTCTGAAATAAGAAAACCCCCTTTAACCCCTAACCTATTAATAGAATCTGAGATAATTTCTTGTTCAGTACTCTCAAGCTCTGGGTTGAATTCCAGCTCCTCCTGCTCCCCAGCCATTAGAGAGAAAGGAAAAGGATCCACCCCATCCTTGGACACACCAACAGTTTCCCCTTGTAATGCCTATGAAATGTGTTGGCCTTGGACCCTTTGTTTCTTGGGTAATTTTTACAATAAAGCATTGATGTGTAAATGCCAGGGGCATGAGAAGTGACTGATGTAATTTCTTTAGCCAAAGGAACAGAGTCACAAGATATTCTGCTGAGAGCAAGATAAAACCTTGTTTATGGAATAAACCATGTTTATGACATCTGGTTACCTCACATTAGGAGATAAAAACCTGTTTAAGGACATCTAAGTTAGAAATCCTTAAGTCTGTGGGATATGAAAAGAGGTTTTTGGGTAGATAAGAAGCAAAAGAGTGACTTTTCAGATAACGAATATGGTGGTTGAACATGACTGTTATCCTCGCGGAACCCTTCTGCTAGACCCTCCAGTGGTGGGTAGCGCTGCCCATTATTGGACCGCTTCCAGAAAAGGGTTTATAAGGCGGAGTAGAAGCTCCCCTAGTGGCCAGAGGACGCTCTGACGCTGGGATTTTTACCAAGGCTATATGGGCTCATCAACTGGTCGCACCTATGGCTTCTTTGTGACCCCCTGGGCAGTTTGGTTCCGATGGGATTTGTTCCTCCCAGCTTCCACATAGCTTCGGCGATGTATTAATTCTATGCTGTGACGCTGTAAAATGATGTGTCTATTTCTGTTTCAATATTTTTATTAGGAAAGGTTTGATTTTTAAGAACATATCAAGCTCAAAATATGCCCTTGCAGGGGCAGAGCAGAATAATAACATATAGACAGGAACATCCTGCTGCCTTGCAATAGTCAAATAACAAAAAAGTCCAAAGACATCAAAAAGGGACGGCAAACAGCCGAGCCAAAGATCTGCAATAATCCAACATTATATTAGAAAAAAAGGGAAAAGAAAAGAAATTAGAAGAAAAGAGCAAGAAAAGAAAACAAAAGGGAATCAGAAAGAAAACATGAAAGAAGGGAAATTAAAG